AACCACTTTATCCTCGGTAGGAGGTTCTCTTTGCTCAAATCGATCACCGTATTGGATATTCATGTAATGCATCCATGGATCTTCCCAAACAGGTAACTGATCGTCTTCTTCTGTTGTGGAAGGGTCAACCGTCGCCATGTTCGACATTAGGGATTTGAATCTTTCACCAATGCTCACGTCAGAATCCCAATTTGAAGTGTCGGATGAATGTCCGCTCCTATCTATTAATTGGTTAATGATTTGTTGGCCATAATCGTCTTCGGATGAATCATAACCCAGACCTCTATTACGACTGTAGTAATTATCTGGTTTTCCTTTTGGTACATAGGTAGAACGGGGTGGAACCCTAATACCTTGACCAAAATAAAGGCCTTCACCAAGTGAAAGGTCATAGCCTCGACTCATCATATAATCATTCGCTTGAGAACTATACCGAGAGAAGTGTCGCCCGGGTTTTTCTTCATCCGAATTACTATCTAAGAAATGATCTGGAGTGGGGGATGATTCCCCTTTTCCAAAGATTATCTCTTTTTCACCCCCTGCCTTTGCGGGTAGGATCATAGTTGTTCCAGATGAGCTTTGGAGGTGTTTCGTCGCCGTACAAGACGAACGAAGTGGCATATGTAGACTAGAGTCGTCGTACAATTTCTGCATTACATCATCAAGACAATGCGAGTACTCTAAATCATGATTTATTATTTCATCGGCAAGCTGCCAGTTACAACTTTCGTCCGACGATTCATCACCGTCAAGATCGATTACAAGAGGTTCAATGTCATTTAGTACAAGACCTTCACTATAATCGAGCCCGGCTTCGGTATCAGCTTCTTCTCCGCTGTCCGTGCCATGGGCCGATGGTTCAGTTTCGGACTCAGCACCATAAAGAAGGGAGTCAGTAAAGTAATTTTCTAACCCCTTGAATGGTTGCTTATCCGCGACCACCGTCTTGACCTCCTCATTAGTGTCGACATATTTCAAACACTGATGGAGGGTGGAGGGAACTATAAGATTACCGTGGATCCATGGGCGACCCAACAGTAAGTTATAGGAAGTCTCCGCATCGATCACATAGCAGGTGACTTCAGACTTCAGATCTCCGAGTTGACACTTCACCCGGATTTTTCCCAACGGTCGTGACCCGCTTGTGTTGAAACCATAGATAACCGTTCCAGTGGAGGCTAACTTGCTGGCGGGAATTCCGAGGTGGTACATCAAACGAAGTGGCATGATACTAACAGCGGAACCCGGATCGACTTGGATCCGGTTAACCATGCTCGAACCGATATATCCAGTAAAATATAACGGTCTATCATGCTTTGAATTCCTGACTTGCATGTCTTCTTTTGTGAAAGCAATGCAAGGAAATTTGGTGGCTGCCAGATTGCAATGCTGCACTGACGATTCTGGCTCTTCAGGAGCTGGCTTGACCTGAGTTAAGAATACTTCAGAATCAGCCAAAGCTTCTTGTAAAGCTTCTCTGGTTTCTTTTGAGAGGCGCAGCAACTCGTACAATGTGATTCTTGCTGGGATATTAGCCAGCTGAGCCATAACGTCGAAACGATATGGTGCGTTCGAGCTTTCCGGTTTGTCTCGTCCAATCGGTCGACTAAAACGAGACTGCTTCGGAATTTGAACCTCTCTGTGTTGAGGTTCTTTTTCTTTTTGCTTAACAACTTTCTGAGGTTTTTCAGCTGCTACTGGTGGAGTTATGGCTACCCCCAGCTCCGTAAGAGTTTTGGCATTTGGATCTGAGGTTTCCGGATACCTATAATGGTACTCGTTTCCACTTCTTGTAGCAAAAACTTCCTGTTCTCCATCAGAAAGTGATAAAGCTGCTATATCCTCATCGTTCTTCTCGGGAATCGCCGAGGCTCCATAGCAGGACTTCTCCTTTCCCTTGCCTTTTGACTTCTTCTTTGATGTGGGTGTCGTCCACTGTTCATCTTCAAGCAAATCCGGATGAACCCAAAGGATTTCGCCGTTGGGGGCTGTGTGAGATACGAGCCCCTTCTGGCGCTGTCCATGAGGGTCATCGTTGATGGTTTGCATCTTGACCTTTGATACTGGCTCGGCTTGAAACCAGGACAAAGGAACCGATCCGAAGCTAATAGAGACCGCGTTTGCGCCTACCTTCTTCTCCTTTGGCTTCGGTGTCACAATACCAACATCAATCAATGTTTGAATTTTATCCTTTAAAACATAACATGTCTTAGTAGGATGGTGGACCCTTCTGTGATATGCACAATACTTTGGGTCATTGATCTTCGTTGCTTCTTCTTGGTTTGTGACCGGTGGAAGCTTGATCTTGTTGTTCTCTAACAAGTATTTGAAGATGACCGGAACTTCATCATCTTTGAAAGAGTATTCCTTTGGGAATCTGGGCTCAGAATTCTTAAACTGCTTCGAAGGCTGTTGATTCTGGTTTGGCGCCAACTGGAAGGATGATTGTTGCGGTTGTTGCGGTGGCTGTTGTGACGTCTGATGTGCGTCCACAGCGGCTACAGACCCTCTTCCTCTGCCTCGAGGGTTAAAGTTCTGCTTTTGATTTTGATTCTGATTATTAGCTGGTGGCAAACCTCGCTCCAAATTCTTTCTCTTGAGGAAGCGTTCAGCTTGTTCACCTCTTACTTTCATCTCTTTCCAAGTTTTAGAGGGAACAACCCCCACCACTTCTAATACATCCAAGGACAGATTATTATGACATGTTTGCAGAATAAATTCCTCAGTGAGTGGATCTCTGCAGTTCACCGCTTTGTCCCGGAATCGTTTGACAAAGACATCAACCGATTCCCCATCCTTCTGCTTCTCATCCAACAACGTGCCGATCGAGACTTCCGTGTCGTCGTCGAAGAAATTGGTGAGGAATAACTCTTCCATGTCTGCCCAGCTAGTGATACTCCCAGGCTTAAGGCGTCGGTACCAATCGAAGGCAGGCCCGCGAAGGGTTCCTACGAATGACCGGACCATCAGGGCTTCGTTCCCAGATATTGCGCCGAGATGCGACTTGAAATAGATCAAGTGCTGAGTTGGTGAACCCCTGCCATCAAAAGGAGTAAAGTTAATCAAATTAAATTTCTGGGGATAAGGAATCAGGTCCCACTCCCTCGGGTACGGGTATGGGATGCCCGTTTTCTTCACTTCTTGAGCCGTCATCAAAGCGTTGACTTTGCTCTCAAGATCGTGCATCTTCTTGTCCTCTTCCTCGCTTTTCTTCAAATAGATCTGTGGAGGTTGAGTGGCTGACTTGGTCGGATCGCTTCCGGAGTTGTCTTTATCTGGAGGAGGATCGTCAAAGATAGTCTCATCCTCTTCATTACGCCGGCTGGATTCCGCCTTCTGGCTCGACTCCGGTTGGTGTTGCTGCACCTGCAAATCTCGCATCTGCTGCATAGTCAACTCCATTTCGGTTTTGAACTCAGCTCTAATTTCTTCGCGTTGTTTAGCCAACGCTTCTTGCAGCATTTGAGCTAGTTGATCCGGCGTGATCGCGAATGATTCTCTGGCTCGTCCAACACTGGATGCGGTATCGTCCGATGCAATAGCGGAACAAGTATCCGACAATTCTTCATCTGAAGATAAACCCTCGTGCATTCTCCTGTAATCTCGACGTAAGTTGGCTCTTCTTTGTAACCGCGCCATCCTTTGAGAAAGACCCCGCTCAACTCTCCCTCCCGGAGAGAAATCAGGGTCGTAGTTAACTGACTTTTGCTTTCCTTTATTGGTCATGTTGATAGTGACCTCAGGAAGCTCATCTTGTCGGATTACAGATTTCTTTTTGTTGAAACGTCTTGTTTTGGGTCTTGACGCTTCATTGGATAATCTTTGAAATACGGAGACTCTTGTTGAATTATTTTTAGAGCAACCGCATTCCGTCAGCACTGCCTTAATGAGAGTCTCGCATGCGCAATGAGACTCATCTTCTCGGATAACCCTCTTTCTTGAGTTATTTTTCTGATAGTACAGCTCATCATTATTGTGATTCGAGCAACCTATCTTTTGCTTCTGAACTTTGTTAACATGCACAGGACGACTGGTCATCGCCTCTGGACGATCCAAAGTTGAATTTTTAAATCCACCCCTTTGCGGGAGTGGGGTTTTCATAGTTGAATCCACCCCTTTGCGGGAGTGGAGTATTTATAGGTCCTAAACGAGAATGAACTGGTATTCTCTCATTTTGGACTGGAGTAATTCTGACAGGAGGGTGTTTATGACCCCCTGTATAAGAAACCACTAAGGGTTTATTCGCTGGACTTGGATCTTCTTTGACTGGGGCTTTGCCTCGATCGTCAGCCGAAGGACCGAGGCGATCCGCCATAGTGATCTTGAATTTTGATAAATCTGGGCTAACCCAGGGTTTCACTGGTGATGTAGTAGATACTGTTGTAGTAGAAGGACCAGGATTGGGTGTCGATGGACCTGCAGATGTGGCTTTGCGACTGCGATAAACATCACGACCAAATGAAGTGTCGCGGCAGTCATCACTGTCACGGTTGAGCAAAGTGCCGCGACAGTTCTGATTGCCGCGGTCGAATAAATTACCGCGGCAGTATGAGCTGCCGCGGTTAGAGTTTACATCCTTCTGTAATTTTTGGGCACCTTCAGTTTTTGGAACCCAAGCTTTGCAGTTCTTCGATGGCTTTTCAGACACCATTTCCTTCTTGTTCCTCTGCGCTTGTTGACGAAGGGCACGAGCGTGAGCAGCCTTTGCCTGACGTCTTTGTATACGCTCTTTGAGAGTAGAACGGGTCCTTTTGACCAGAGTCCATTCCTCCGTTGTAAGTTGTGCAGAGATGTGATTAGTTTGCCATTGAGGCAACTGGTTCACCTTTTGCTTCCTCGACTTTAAGTCCGTATAGTAATGGACTCCGTCGGTTTGTTGCATGGCCTTAGCCAATTGACGAGCACGGTGTTGACGTTGTCTCTGATGAGCCCTCTTCGTCATTACCAGCGCATTTTGGTTTAGAGACCCCTGAACTGGTGAAGGGTCATTTGGAGCAGAGATGTTGCAGGTAGATTCCTGAGCCATGACTTGGCAAGAATCTTCATCTGCGGTCTTCATCTGAATTGAAGACTTGGGAACTTTCTTGGGAGAGGAAGTCTTCCTACACCTGCGAGGTGAGGGAGATTTTGAGGATGAGGACGACAGGTACTCCTCAAATTTGGCCTGATCGAACTCATATTCAATCTCCTCCGTGACAATGATCTTAATCGGCTGCGACACTGCGGCCTCGGCAGCGAGGCCGCTGGCTCCCACTGTGGTCGCCAGTTTGTTTTCAGCGAAAGTTGACTCCATTGTCGATTCCATTAAAACTTTGATGTGTTTACAGGAAAATACAATGAAAATAAGCGAAAATACAACTCTAATAAACGAAAATACAACTCTCGAGAAAATAACACAGAAATTGTTTATCAACTCCTGCTTTGTGGGACTTTGCCTGTGCCGGGAGTGCTTTGGCTCGTTGACCACCGATTCACAGATCGTGAATGTGTTTGGGGATCTTTCCTTCGTTTATCGAAGTAAAGATTTGAAAGCGAATATCTTATCGATGTAAGATGTTCACTCTTCCAAAGATCAAGTCTGAGCTTAGATCTCTAGGAATCACCGAATGATGCTTGTCAAAGGGTGAAAATTCTCTCTTTCTTCCTCAAAATCAACAAAAGCTCAAGTCTCTTCTGCTTCAAAATGCTCTCTCCTTTATTTCGTGTCTAGTGAGGTATTTATAGGAGTCTGAGTGCACCACAGTTGAAACGGGGGCAAAATAACTGACCGAGTGTTTTCTCTTTGGCCGCTGCAGTCTACACTGCCGCGGCTATTGGCGCGGCAGTATAGGCTGCCGCGGCCAAAGAGACGGTTATCAGCACGTTCCATCATGCTTAAAACCATTCTCCCACGACCTTTAACCACTTTTTTCGTGGTTTAACTGCTTGTCCACGTCAGCACACGTTCTATCTCTGATATGCCGCCACGTGGACTTCAAATAATCATCATATAACTGCCTTGTAACCAACATAGCACGCCCTATAATAGCCGCTGCACCTTATGCTATCGTGCCTTAGCCGCGGCACGATATGCTGTCGCGCCTTAGCCGCGGCACCATATGCTGCCGCGCCATGGCCGCGGCGCCATGAGCTGCCACGCCGGAGCCGCGAAACCAAGCGCTATTTAACCAAAATTGTGGGGTACCGGGGTGTTATATGATCGAATGTGATGATCATGACCCGGGTTACGCGTGTCCTTGACCTGAATTTTGGCCTTGAACACGAAGGGTATTTTGGGTATTTCACCAAAATTCACCGCGAAAACGATCATTGTTTTGCGGGCACAAAATTGGTAGGTTTAATTAGACTTTAACTGTAAAATCCTATTTATTTATAGGATTTTAAGTCCAAGTGCTTAATTTCCCTGTTTAAATTTCGTGTATTCATATTGTACCTGACAGATTGCTTTTCACTGCAGACTTCCGATGTCTCCTCGTCACCATCGATCTTCCGGGAGTTATCCCCATTCGCAGCACAGTGAGGAGGAGGTTCCCACGACGTCTTTCCCGGCAGACTTTTCCTTCAGGGGTGAGAATTCTCTATTTCTGTATCCCTGACTGATCCCTTAGCGGGTCATTAAGGAAGAACCGATACCTCTTTCGCGGAGGTTAAGGTTTCGGACTTGTTTTGCTTAGCCAATTCAAGTCTTCGGATATATTGGGGCGATTCTTGTGTTGTCTTACACCTTGTAGTTCGGTATATGTTGCCACGTTGTTCACGTGATGATGCATACCGTTCTTCCGGTGTAGGACACTCAAAATCGTCTCTCCAATTATTCCGTGAATGAGCTTATCATTCTACTTATGAGACGGATTTTCTGACTCCATCTTTTGTATTTTATTGCAGTTGAATTCCCCGCGGGTAGTCTTCCTGCTCATGCCAATGCCGGTTGTAGCCGGGAGGTTTTTTCCTCCACTTCCATTGGGCAAGTCATTAGCCCATTCCCACAGTTTGACCAGGATCGTTCTGACGATTCCTGCCGTTTAGTACGGGAAGGAGGGCGCCATTGCTTGCGCCAGCTTATCACAGACGCCACTTTTACCGCTGATTCTACTTCCACTCAGGCTTTACAGAAGCCGAGCTTCTTGTTCGGGGATCATGTCGAGGACCCCGCTATACTGACTCTTGGAGAGGAGCACTGGCTGACTCTTGATGGAGGAGCTCTTTTATACATTCCATCAATTCCCCGCCAATATTCTTTTACCCATTTGAGGAGACAGGCCGTGAGGCGACAGATGTCCTGGGATCTTACTAAGGATGCTGAGCGAGTCCCGTGTGGATATACCTCTCATTCTAAGACCCCTGGTTCTGGCGGGTATCACCATATTCGTGGTCTTTGCCCAGGGATCACGGGCCTTGATACTGCACCCCCAGGTGAGACGTCAGCAGCTGCCTCTACCGTGGGTAATCGTCTGGCTCTTCTGGGGAGGCGATTACCTCCACCAGAGCCCAGATGCTATGGCTGGGCTTCCTCACTAGCCAAAGGGTGGTGGGCGCGCATGACTGATTTCGTCTTGGCGCGCTGGGAGAGGGATCTGAAGAGTAGTGGGTTATATGCACCCATACGAGCTACTATGTACGGAATCCCAGTTAGCTGTCGCCATTTCTTGGCTTTGCTGGAGACTTATATGATCCCAGTCAGCTGTCGCCATTTCTTGGCTTTGCTAGAGACCTACATGCCTGACAGCAACACCTTTTTGACCAGTGGTGGTGAGCTAGGGCTAGCCTTGCATGAGATGCATTATGTTTCGGGTCTTCCGATGGGGGACTGTCCGTATCAGGAGTACTTCCCTAATAACCAGCAGCTGGAGTGTATGAAGAAAGATACTCCGGACATGTATGACACTCTCTGGGATCTTACCTGTCATTATCACACTTCCTTGGTCCTGACTTCTCCTCCAGCAAAAACGAAAAGGAAGGTCAGCTTGAAGCAGTTCGCCTGCTATTTGTTCCAGAACTTGGAGGGTAACTCCGACGAGTCCATTCATGAGTTAGATGTTTTGACCCCGTCTGTCATTAATGAGCTGTTGGAGAAGGCCGAGGCTCAGTCTTACACCACTGCCCGTGCTGAGGGAGCTTTTCCTGTGGGAACCAAGTTTCATTCTTTTCTCTTTCATGCGCAGAAATCCATTGGGTCTCGGACTCTACTAGCAGGCTACCTTGCTCTTTGGCTGAAGAAATGTGTTGTCCCGCACCAGTCTTCGGACGCTCTACCCATCGAGGTGCTCTTCCCTGCAGTTCAGCTAGCTTACGGGAGAGAGCTTTCCCTGCTCCCAGCGATGGTTGCCAGCATCCACTGCGGGCTTAGGTGTCTGGCTAGTGGCTTTACACAGAGGGGTTCTGAACCATCGACTGAGCTTACTAATCCGAAGGTCGAGCTTCCTTACGCTTATCTGATGGCGTGGCTCGTTCTTCACCGCCCCGACTTGATGTCGGCGCCCAGCGTGGTAGATGTCTCTGTTCCTTTCATGCAGCTGTTGGAGAAGTGTAAATGGATTGGGCCCAAATTCAGTGATGTTCAGCGCGAGCTTCGAGTCCGTAAAAGCTGGGAGTTCTTTAAGTGCTTTCCCCACTTTTCGGGTCGCTATGGTGACACACTGATTGATGAGGAGAAACCCAGAAGTGACCGGACCATTCTTGACGCTGGTTGCTTCCGGTGGTTAGTGAACAGCCGTGTAGGATATCTTGTCCTTCGGGTGAAGAATCAGTGCTACATAGAGCCTTATCTCCCTTGCCGCTTTGCTCGCCAATTCGGCTATGACCAACTGTATGTCGGGAATCCGAGCCGTAGCCTGCAGGTTGAGGGAGGATTGATTGATGGCGTACGAGCGTGGCTATGGACGATGGTGGGCTGCACTGGAGCCCGTTTTGCTCTTCCTTCGTATCGGCGTAAGCCACTGATCACTTTCCTCAGCTTCAAGTGGTTCCTTTCTGCATATGAGTCCATCAGCATGAGGAGCCTCTCAGAGTTGCAGTCTGAGTACGCGGTCCGGGCTGCTATGATGGCTGGTCGCAGAGCTCAGAAGCGGAGAAGAGAGCATGCCAAATCTCTTGTCTCCGACGAAGAAGGACTTCTCCCTACGGGTGACGATGACGAGACCTCCGAGGAAGAGTATGTGGATGCAGATACCGGCAGAGGGGATCTCAATACCGGTTTGTCCTGTCTCTCTTAATTTTCCTCTTTCATAAATGACAACCCTTTTTTTTTATTGAAATGGCTATTGTCACTTTAGGTAGGGCAGCCAATGATCATGAGCCACCAGCTCCTACACACGTTGAAACGTGTGATAGGCCTGCGCATGTTCGACCTGTTGGCCCTCGAAGGGTTGGTGCCCTGAAGAGGAAGAAGACCGCCCACAAGCCCCATGACGGTCAGCGTCCCTATGGAGTGGACTTAGGGAGCACTGCCGATGGCGGGGGAGGTAACATTCAATTGCTCTTGCTCCAAGGTTGTTTACCTTTTGTGATTTGTAACCATGTTTCGTGCTTCAGGGTTCTTCGAAGAGGGCGAAATCCCACACGCTCTTCACGACGGGTCTTTGGGCATTGATCTAAACATCGACCTTGAGCAGATGAATAACGTTGAGCCCGTAGTCCCTTGTTCAGGTACGTCCATATTCAATGTCATTTTCCTCAAGCCTGGGGAAGGAAGACTTCTTGTTTTTGTTGAAAGTATTTTCTTGAGCTTTCAGGTTACCCTGCAGATGTTGCAATGGAGGGGCCAAGCTTCTCGAAGCCGGATGCCGGTTTATTAGCTGACATGTTGGCTGAGCAAACTTCCAGAGGGACCGAGAGACCATTCCTTGGGAATGATTCGTCTACCGGTACATATCTGATTCTCCTCCTCTTGCCTGATCTTTTATTTGACTAATGAATGATTGACTATCGCAGCGTCAACTATTGGAGTTAGCCCGGTATCTATCCCTGGCATATCCAGTTTGCCTCAGAATGACGGGCTTGCAGGTATGCATACGATTCAGGGATATTGTACTTTCCTATGTTCCTCTGGCTTTTGACTAATATATGAGTGCGATCATAGGACCAGCCACTAGGACTGATTCTCATATGACTCCTGGCATCCCTCAAATGCCTACGGGTGAAGGATCTACAGGTATGTAGATGACTGTACTATCCCAATCCTTCTTATTGGTCTAAATTTTCATTTTGACTAATAAGAGAGTGCCATCATAGGACCAGCCGTTTGTGCCGATACTCTTATGACTCTTGGCATCCCGGCTGTATCTGAGGACGGGGGGAATGCAGGTATGCATACGATTTTCTTGTCCCGATTCTCTTTACTTTTCCATTTGGTTCACGTAGGAGTGTCACTGTAGGACCGGGCGCTGGGCCGGATATCACTACAGTTCTCAGGACTGAAAGCCTTCATAGTAATGGTGCCTCCCCACCTTTGCCGAGTGGTATGGGCAATCCACCTGCAGGTGCTGATATACCTTCTTCTGCTAATGTCTCAGAGCCCGTCGGACCTCAACCCGAAGGGACGTCCGTTGGCATCGGTATGCTCCGAACTTGCCTTTTGACTTTCCTTTCCATATTCGATAGTTCACTGAGCTTCCAAGTTGTTGCTTGTAGGATCTCGCTCTTCTTTGCACGAGCGTGTCCGTAGCCTTTTGGCCGATACTGATCCTGACAGAGAGGCTTTCCGTACGGACCTCAGCTTCTTCACCGCCTGGTATAATGGCTTGATCGAGAAGCTTCTTCACCGAGGAGGCGGCTTCGATCAGTTCCGGCGTTCCTTCTCTCGCCACATGACGATGATGAGGGAAGAAGGATACCCGGAACTGGCTGATTCCTTCACTGCTGATTTCGCCGCCCTGGAGTCAGAGATACGAGAGTTGAAGGAACTGGAGGTTACCGGGACTTCTTCTTTCGTATCCTCTGAGTTAGAGCATAGGATGGAGCAGTGGCGTGAACTGAGATCTTCCGTCGGGCGTGAGCTTCAGTCACGCGAGAGCTCCCTTGCGCATCTAAGCTGAGCTACTCCGTTCTTCGGACTCGAACCGCGAGGAGGTGGCTAGGTTGAGAGAGGCTTTGAAGCGTGCTGAGGAATCTGCCGTTCTTATTGCAGATGACCTGATTGGACTAGAGCGTTCTCGTGAGGAGGCACTCGAGAAGCTGGGATCCACTCAGGAGAGACTGATGAAGCTGAAGAGCGAAGCCGCGGAGATTTTAAGCCATTCTGAGGAGTCTGCTCGAGCTGATCTACAGGCGGGGCTTGAGCGGAGTTATGTAGATAGACTTTTTAGCTTAAAGTCTCGTATTCTCAGCCGCCAGTTGCCTTCGGACTAACGAGCTTTTGTTGTATGCTTTTGACTTGATTTATTAATAGAAAATCCGCATTTGCTTCTTTTGTGTTTTCTCTGTATCTCTTCCGAATGACAGATTTATGGGATTTTTGGCAAACCCCCAGCCCTCAACGGGTTTGATGTGCCTTTACCGATCACCGTTTGAATCGGGCTAGCATGTGGATTGTCTAGATCCGTTCCACATGTAACGTTGTGCTAAGAGAGTAAACTCTCTGAGGCTTTGTGCTATGATTTTGAATACATAGGCTTCGTCTTTCTTACGGGAATAGACTACCCGGCAACGCGTGTTAGGCGTTGACTTTGGGGTTTTTGGCAAATCCCCAGCCTTCAACGGGTTTCATACGCCTTTACCGATTACCGTTCGAATCGGGCTAGCATGCGGATTGTCGAGATCCGTTCCGCATGTAACGTTGTGCTAAAGGAATGAACTCC